AACACTTGGTATTCCCAAGCGGTCACCCATCGAGGTACTGACAAGGCTGTATGATGCTCAACTTCGGTGGGCGCACCGGAACCGGTGTTTCCGCGTAATATGACCGTAAGCCTTAGTGTTCTGAATCTCGAATCATCTTTCTTTATTTTTATGTGCCATGACCTTTCAGGACGTAGGTGATCATGGCTCTCCACCTCCCTCTATCCCTTGCAGCTCTCAACAAGTTCATTCCCTCTGCTTCCTCCCCAAGACCACGTACTGCCATCCACTTGCCTATTGTTTTCCCTTGTCTCTCTTTCCCTCTATTCTACCCGTGAGTATCAGTTTCTCCAGACCCTCCTTCCTCATTATGTGTCCCAGAAACTTTAGCTGCCTCTTCCTCATTTTAAGTATAAGCGTCCTCCTTGTTTGCAACGTTGTCTGTCTATGATATCCTTATCATCCTTCTGTAGAACCACGTTTCTTTCGTCTCTTCTTCATCTTTGAGGAAATCGTCCAACATTCGCTGCCGTAAAGAAAGACAGATGTCACGTAAGAATTCAGTATTCTTTTCTTTGTTACCAACGACTTCCTCCTGTTCGTAGTACTTTGCCCATCTTTTGGAATGTGTCCTTGGCTATCCCATTACTCCTACGGATCTCAGTGTTCTACTTACCGTCCTCTGTCGAGGCGCTTTCCAGGTATTTAAACTTCCTCATCTGCTTGATTCTAGTGTTCCCGACCTTCTGATTGTATTTCTGGCTTATACATCATCTATTAAATGCAACCGATAAACGTTGCTTAATTTTCCCACTGGCAAATAAGTTTCGGCATATTTGCTATATTCACAGATGAGGAATGTTCAGTCATGGGTCGATAGAAATAGCGTGCAAGTAGAAACCTACACTGCATCGTGACAGGATGTCTCACATTTACGCTATCATGAAGCGGAGTGATAATCGTTTCAAGCGTGAAAATGCAAATCAAAAGGCCAGTGTTGATCTGTATGCCCTCTGTAATAAATTAAGCTACACTGCCTAACGTCTTGAAAATATCTGAAAATTTGGCACGTAACAAGATTTACACTCTTTACATTATTCGGAATATTGTCCTCATCTTTGTCGCCATATTTATTACAACGTTCCGGCCTTCTTCAGGTGGTTGGAATTTCGAACTGAAACCTTTATTTCGCTCACTGGGGTAGACTGTTCTAGTTCTACCTTCTAATGGATGTCAGTTATCAGTTATTTCTTGTTAATTCCCCTCTCTACTGCCTTAACCGAGTATTGAACTCACTCTCACACTGGATCTAACTAACTTATCCACTGTGCCATGTGTCCTTGAGTTTGAATTTCTGGGTATTACAAACCTAATGTCATCAGCAAACATATTTTTTTACCAGTGCTCATATTGGAATTTTTGCTGTTATCACTTCATTTTTTTTTTTTTTTTTTTACCAGAGCTCATATTGCAATTTTTTTGCTATTATCGCTTTTCTCTGGCACTCCTTATTGCTGGTTCCCATATTATATTTATTTCTGTGCTTGGACGGCTCAGGAGATTTTTGTGGCCTGGCATATAAAGGGTTCAGTTCGACATTCCAAACACTTGAAGATGGCGACAAAGATGAGGACAATAGTCCTAATAATGTAAATAGTGTACATAATACCTCATCTCAGAAATATAGACCGTAACAAGATATCTCATAACAGAAATGTTTGCAAAATTATTCGCAGATCCACCGTTGCTGGGGTTCTACTATAACAATTTTGTGTCACATTAGACCGATTATAGTGAATAGAGAATTCGACGGAAATAAAATCAAAACTATTTCGCGAAAATTGCGTATCAAAATTCACTGTCTTTATAGAGATCGCAAAGGGTTAGGTTGACTGAGTGAAGGTGATCAAATTTACGAAAATATTCTTTAAATTTAAACATATTCACTTTTTTTTTTTTTTTTAAATATTTTTACCTAGGAAATTTTTCAATGACAAAAATTTATTGATAGCAACGTGTTAAAATCAAACACATCTCACTAAAAACATGTTAACAAATCAAATAATTTTCTTTTTAGAATTTCACACCGGTTGAGATTTGTAGTTGTCAAAATAGTGTGACGGATACAGTGATTTTCCAGAAACAAAGACACGTGCCATGCTGCGACTAAAAAGTTCGCATATGTCAGAGCCAAGATCGTATCTATAAATAAAATAACTAAATAGGAATGACTGAAGTTACCAGAATCAAGTTTGCTTAATAAACATTATGGTAAGGCATCCATTAGAAGCGTAATTATATTTTCTCGTTATTCTTTCAAATTTCTCATCTCATCAGAACAGCTATCGCCACCTGTTTATCACAAAACGAAATCTTCCCGACTACTAGCATTCTTCTTGGCTGCAACACGCAACAACAGTTTTGTAGCAGTAGCAGCTGTTGCTATTGTTGCGAGGGCCAGAATTCTGTCCCTCTCAAACGACTGCTTGTTCACGTTAGCTTTTGTGTAAGAAGCAATAGCAGCTTTCTTTTGTGATATGCTTTGCGGTTTCACTTCTCAAAGTCACAAGGGTCTAATGGATTCGTCTGACGGGTCGAGTCAGTCCACTCCCGTCAAACCAAATTAAAGCTTGTAACAAAATCTCTTTGGCCACATCATCGTCGTGTAATTGTTAGTAAGCTTGTCTCGCTAGATCAATTACGACTGGGAAGTGAGATATTTCATCACAGAGTGCCCCACACTTTCGGCCTTGTGCCGCATGTAATCTACGCTTAGAAATCACTAGGAAGACTTCGACAGGATGTAATGGTTAGCAAGCTTGTGTCACTAGATCAATTAAGACTGTGCAGTGAGTTCGATCCTTGCTAGTTCCCCTATACCATCGCCTTTGAATATACATCTAAGCTACGCTAAGAAAATCATTTGTGCACTTCGACGTGGGTTTATCGTTAGGAAGCTTAAGATCAATTAAGATTGAGAAGTGAGATATTTCGTCACCATCTCAGACCTTGTACCACATCTAACCTGCTCTTAGAAAGACATTAGGACACTTCGATGTGGTGTAATTGTTAGCTAGCTTGTCTCGCTAAAACAATTACAGCTGAGGAAACCCCTAGAACAAAATCCCCACACAAGCTCCGTTAAAACGCCGAATGTCATTATCACGCTCTTCACCCGGGGGTGTAGAATTAATTTCAATTAATTTCAACTTCACCCATCGCGACGTGAATGCGTCACAAATATTATTGTCGACAACTCCAAAACGGTAGATTTTATTAAACTTTATTTGTCATTTTCGAATTAAGCATTGACATTTACACCTAAATGAAACTATTCGGGAATTTTTTATTAGAATCTGAGTGCGGGGCTTGAACTGCAAATTACTATTTTGAGTTTCCGAGTTGCAATTTGTTTCTGGAAGCAAATACACGTCGTTCACGAAATAGTTTTGATTTAAACTCCGTCGCTATCACTATTCACTAATACTATTTGTCGGGGAGATTTCTTTCTGTGATAAACAGGAAGCGGTAGCCTTTGTGTTGAGGAGAGGAATTCAAAACAATAAGAAAATGTAATTACACTTTTAATCGAAACCTTACTATAATGTTAGTAATCAATTTGATTCTGGTAACATCAGTCATTCGCATTTACAGTTATTATATTTATACTATGCGATCTTAGGTCTGACATATGCGAACTTTTTGGTCGCAGCATAGCACGTGTCTTTCTTTCTGAAAGGGAAAAAGAAATCACTGTGTCCGTCAAACTATACAGACAACTACAAATCACGAGCCGGTGTGAAAGTCTAAAAAGAAAAAAAAATATTTGATTTGTTAAAACGATTTTGGTTAGATATGTTTGATTTTAACACGTCGATATCAATAAAATTTAGTTAATAAAACAACTTCCTGAATAACAATATTACAAAAGATCAATAAATATGTTTAAATTTGCAGACTATTTTCGTAATTATGATCACGCTCGCTCGTTCATTCTATCCGTTTGCGATCTCTGTTAAAATTGTGAATATCATTATCAGACGCTTTTCGCGTAGATAGTGAAATAGTTTTGATTTTACCTCCGTCAAATAATCTATTCACTATTCTCTGTTCAATATGGTACAAGAATTCCACAGCAGAAACCCAGCGACGGTAGATCGTAGTACAATTGCGAAGAGGTATGCAAAACATTTCTGCTATGAGAAATCATGTGCCAAATTTTCAGATATTTTCGAGACGTTAGGAAATGAGGTTTAATTGAGGACATAAAGCATACAAATCAACACTGGCATGCTGATTTGCATTTTCACGCTAGGAGCGATTATCTCACCGCTTCATGATAGCTTAAACGTAAGACATCCTGTCAAGATGCTGTGTAGTTTCTATGCGAAAACTATTTCTATCTACAAACGATTGATCATGCCTCACTCATGAATATAGCAATAATGCGTCCACTTATTTGTCAGGGGTGGAAATAAACAACTTTTATCGGTTGAAGTTAATAAATTTTGAGTTATATCATTCAAGGTTCAGAAGGTAAAGGCTTCAGGTAATTGGAACTCCTCTCTCCGAGTCCCAGTGTCAGTCAGGTTATTTATAATCACTTATGCGCAAATACCACTGAGGAAGATATTGTCTCCCCCGAGCTATGGATTAATTAGTAGATCTTGTATCCGTAAATCATTATTATCTGCTCATAATTCTTAAAACATAAAAAAAATATTTCCTAGCTTTAAATCACCTACAAAAGATTGTTAAGACGTGAAAATCGATAAATCATATTTCTCAATTTCACGTATGAAATTTTCTGCAATAAAAGAAGACATTTTTTAGATGAATTAGCCAATCAAATTTCGATAATTTTAAATCCTCCTTCTGTAAATATAAAGAAACAAGCTGAGACATGTGGTTGTTTCTTCTATCTGCTGTGTACGTCCAGGAGATGAGCGATCGCATCTCTCTAGAGCTGCGGATATTTTATATCTCTTTGCAGAATTTCTTTTTACTACAACATATCACCTGTTCTGCTATCCATTCACACAAGCTAGTTAGGAATGTTACTCTGTGTTTTCCGCCTATCATTGATATGTCCTGTGGGTGTCAAATTTTTCAAGCCCTTTTTCCTCGTTA